CACAGATGGTCATCTGTTCAGGTGTATCCCTGTGTTTGTCCTGTCCTAAAAGTCCCCTCCCTTGTTCTGGTCTTTGTCTATCGTCATTCTGATCTCTTTTCTCCCCATCACGTTCAGACCTCTTGCAAATTTGATCTATACGTACTTTGTGCGTTTCCTTGTCTCCACTTTACAATTCTCAGCATCTGGTGCCTACGTTCACTTCACAACTGAACTAGTGGTTCTTGAATTGCTAAATCCAATGGATTTTTTGGGTGTTTCCTGGATCTCTCTGCACATTTGCTCCCGTTGATCACTCACTCCTTCTTAAAGTTCTCTGCTCCCGCTGCCTTCCACAGCACTGTTTCTATCCCATCATCCTCAAATTGTTCCTTCTCTGTCTCTTTCATGTTCTTCTCTTCTTCCTCCTCCCTGGGGTTCATCCTCAGCCCAGCTCTTCTCACCCTGCACACTCTCCTTCCATACTCTCATCCACTTCATGATTTACAATTACTCATACATTTTGTTGTAGCTCAAGTTCCCTTCCTGCGATTCAGGCTCGAATATCCAGCTGCCTGCTGTGTCCATCAGGCACCCTCCAGCCCAACGTGTGTGAACCAATGTCCTCATTGTTCCCCTTAACCTGGTTCTCCATCTGTGTTCTCTCTATCATTTTGTGGAACCACTGTCCACTCATTCACCCCAACTAGAAACCCAACGGTCGTTTTGGTCAGGACTTGCTAATCTTCCATCCTAAAAACTTCTTGAAACTGTCTATAATGCCCGTCATTACTACCACTGTTGCAGTTCAGAACTGCTGCCACTTGCTATGATTTATCTCTTGCTTGGGTATCTGCACCATTTAAATGTCTTTTCTTCCAACAGCCTTGTCACCATCAATCCACCATACATACAGTCTAAAGTAAACCTGCTACTTGCAAACTGAAAACACTTTCATGCTGGATAACGTCCACAAGAGTCCCAACTTAGTTTCTAGCCCTAAATACTCTGCTTCCTGTCTCCCTCTAGTCTTATCAACAGCTGGGAATTCTACCCATAAACCATATTATTACTTTGCTTTTACTGTCTCCTTTGCCTTTAATACACTTCTCACTCCTCTTCCCTGGCCCACTTGTAGTCTTCCTTTAGTCAACACAAGTGTGTCACCTCCTCCGAGAACCTTTCCTTTATATGTCTTGTCACCCTCCATCCCAACTATTCTTATCAATACCCTGTGCATATTCCAGTCATTGCATTAACTATATAATTTTCTAGTTTGTATTTCTGTGAGCTATACAGTCCACAGACAGCTGTTTGCAACTTATTTCCTTCATCGAAATTCAGACATCTTTGGATAAGAATTTGGTACAGAACTGGAAAGATCTCTGTCAGTTCTGATGCTGTCAATTGAATTAGGAGGCTGTTCCTTTAAAGATATATGTATATATAGAGAGAGATATCCTTATATATCTATATATATGTATATATATAGTGAGATCTATCCTTAGATATGTATGTATATATAGAGAGAGATATCTTTATATATATATTTTGCCTTTAATTTAATTTTACCTTTCATTCCTTCTAAATGATAACTGAGTCACAAATATACAAGTATCTTTATTTTTCCTTCTCCCTCAACATCCATACTTTACCTATATTTTATCCCCCAAAGAAGCTGAAATTCAAAAAAGACTAAGTTGTTGGCTTGTACAGAACACCACAATTAGTTAAGAACTGTCATAAGAATCTATTTTCTGGATTTCCAGATCGGTCCTCTTACTATTTTATGACATTGCTTCTCTGTGATTTTTTTAAACATGTAAAGGTATATTTTATGTGACCTTTATTCAATCACATGCCTAAAACATGAATTTTCCAGGGTGGTCATGGTCAATTACCATGGCAGAAAAAGGATTTTAAAGCTTTATTTATCCACATTTCAGATATAAATTTTTCATACCAAGAAGTAGCACACTGAGCTTTGCTGTCCCCCAAAATACTACAAATGCTATTTTCTCAGGAAGAAGAGTGAAGTTTATTTTTTGTTAATGAAATGCCAAACAAGCCCAGCCAACTTGCCAGGCATAATTAAACTGGAACATCTTTGGCAGTAAGCTGAGTAGCTCCATCCATGCAAATGTTTTGCAAAAATTTAGCTTAAGCAATTTTTGAGGGGGGGGGGCAGATTCTTTTCAGGATGGAGTAGGAACATTCAGGAATTGGGGCAGCTCTCACAACATTATAAACATTTCCAAAGACTGGTTAAATAAGCTCCATTATTATCCTGATCGTTCAACTCAAGCCTTTCTTCCTACCCCCACCTCACGCACCAGAACTTCAGCACTTGGCCCAGATACATGTGAGCGAGGTGGCAAAGTTCAGATTTAAAAACATTCCTTGCAAAGTCCCTCCCTTTCTCATATATATTCCCTCTACCTATGTTTCCGTTTTGTTCTTGGTGCTCTCGGATGGATTCTGACTCCTAGTGCCCCTGTGTACAGCAAAGTGGAACCCTGTCCAGTCTTTTTGCACCATCCTCTCACTTCCGGTCAGCCAATGCTCTCCTGCTATTCATAGGGTTTTCATGGCCAATTTTTTTCAGAAGTGGGTGGCCAGGTCTTTCTTCCTAATCTGTCTTATTCTGGAAGCACCACTGAAACCTGTCCACCATGAGTGACCCTTCTGGTATTTAAAATATCAGTGGCATAGCTTTCAGCATCACAGCAACATGCAGCCACTATAGGATGAGAACCTACAGACCAGTGGTGTGGTTCCCTGACTGGGAAATGAACCCGGGCCGAGGCACTCTCCACCGAATTTTTAACTGCTAGACCACCAGGGCTGGCTGACCTATGTTTTACAATACTATTTATTCACTATTTCTTTTTGTTCTTCCTAGTGTTAGAGAGTGAATAAACACACATTCCTTGAGAAATCACTTTTAGGATATCCTACAAAAATAGATTCCCAAATTAACACACCAAAATGGAAAATGGACAAATAGGTACATTTCGTTTTTTAAGTACACCATTCAATTTCAGTTAATATATTTTCTATTGTGTCTACTCACATCTTCTCTTGTGGCACAAAAGCAGCCACAGGTAATACACAAGCAGACAAGCGTGACAGTGTTCCAGTGAAATTTTACACAAACAGGCAGCAGGCTGGATTTGGCTCACTGGTCATAGTTTGCCAGCTCCCCATTTAACTCATTACTTCCGTTAGGAACTCTTTTATTTTGATTTTTAAAGTCGTGGATGTAAAGATTAATGCTTACTTTTATAATGAGTAAAATTTTAGGTTATATCAAAGACAAACATAAATTTTTCAGGGGTTAGAAAAACAATAATTTTTAAGATTTTTCTATACTCGAAGTTATTGTTTGTACAATTGTAAGTTTCTTGCAGGGAGTGAGTACAGGATAATTCATCTCATGCTCTCACCAGGACCAAAGTGCCTGGTTCATGGTAAAGGTGTCTTTTCAAACAGATGAATGAATGATTAGGGCCCTGTATGCCAACTGATATGTCAGGTTGATCATATTGTTGACAAAATATCAGACCCAGTTTTTAAGACTCTTAGTTCTTTGTCTTCTGTTACTTCAAAGGATCCCAGCTTAGCTGCACTGATAATGGGATAAATAACAGTGCCGCTGACAGTGGAGAAAGCAGTGTGCTTTTCCTCCTGAGCCCAGGTTCTGAAATGGCTGCTTGTGGGGGTTTATATGGTGAATATGTATGGACAGGTTTTGATAAGTAGGGTACAATATTTTCTCTAGGGCTTTAGATCTATCCCATTAAAAACAAGAAGGAAAACCCTTTTAGCTATGAATGTGGGCTGAGGAGCATGATAGATTTACTAGAATTTTCAGCTTTCTTACATTTGAGGTTATTGTGGGCATCGTGTCCTGGGTGACGCTTTGGAAGTACTTGTGATGGGAAAGTGGCCATATGCCAGAAAAGGTGCTATTTACATTAATTAAAAATACCTATTCTACAGAACTCTGTGACCAACAAAGATAGCAGTAGGCTCAATCACAAAAGAGCTGGATTGCGTTCAACGTCCCCTGACTACAGGAGACATAACTTATATTTCCTGTTTCTTTAAAAATTAATTATAAAAATAATGGTAATCATACTGAAATTTAAAGAGTGAAAAGGAACTCCCTCTCTTCCTCCTGTCCCTCCCTCCCCAATTCCACTTCCCTTCCCAGATAGAACATCTATTAACAGATGGATCTTTGTCTTTTTACACTTTTTCTATATGTATACTTGTCTGTGTGTGTGAAAGCTAACTGGGACCAAATTATGCTTAGTGTTCTACAAGTTGCTTTCTCAGTATGTATATACGGTATATGTATACAGTAATCATTGCATGGTAATTGATGTAAATATCCCTCATTCTATTTATGAAAGTACTGGCCATTATATAACCACTCTATACTTTTCTCCCCTCCTCCTTTTAAGCCCTGTACTGTGCTTATGACAGTATTTCAAAGATGCTTATACTAGTTAATTAAGGATATGAAAACAGTCCTTCCCATTGTGTGGAAATGAACATCTACTTTTATTAATCTAGTTTTACTTTTAATTGGTTCACAGATGATTGTTGATAGCCTCGTAGAGTTTTACAGCATGCTGCCAAATGTGTCCTTGGTTCTTACGGCGACATATTTTTGTATAACTGTGTGTGTTTATAATTATACAACCATAAGGGCTCAAGACCGCACATGCATACACATGCACATATGCAGAATTATTTATTTCAAGGAGACAATTCAGGCAGCCAAGCTCAGAGTGGAGATCATTATGACATGTATCTTGCCTTATGTGACAGTGGCATCCTAACAGATACAGTGTGCAGATGCGGAGCTTTCAGAATATTCTACCATCCTACAATAATTGCTACATGCTTTTAGCCATAGTAACAAAGAGCATCTTTAACCTTCTATGTGCAGAAACCTTTATACCTTACTCTTCAGAGACAACTGCTTTAAAAATTTCCAAATTCACTTGCAGCCTCTATTCTCTGCAAGATCTTCCCATCTATTCCAACTGTGTCAAACTATGGCATAAACAGAAGAAAACAACAATAGACTGTACATGTCACTCACGTTGGCTGAGAGATCAGCTGAGAAAGCAAGAATTGGAAGATGGAGGAATAGATGTACCATCATTTGAAAAAGTACTCTTCTCTTTCAAGCTGTATATAACTTATCCATTGTAAACTAAGACTATTAATAGTAATAATTATAACAACACTTTATTTTTGTCTAATGCCATATAACTTACAAAGTCTTCCTCAAGTTTTCATTTATTTCTTTTTTGTCAGTCCCATCAATTAGTCAGGATACAGCTTATTATTTTCTCCTTATTTTCCACCTCTGCAGTTACTTCCTACTGCTGTTTCCAAACTTGGTGCATTAGAGTTGAAGTAGAACTCCCAGCCCTGAACAAGATCCGAAAGTCATTATGTTTGGGCAACGTGTTTGGTGATATGTTACAATGTGGACATTTCTGCTGTGGTTAACATCCTGTAAAAGAGAATACAAATCACTAAAAAGCTCAGGTCAGATAATTCAGAATTAAGGAGGTGATGTTACTTTTTTGAAATAGAGACATGAGACAGTATTAAAAATGGACAGCGTGGACTAATTCCTAAAATTTATTCTCAGTTATATCATAGAGTCATGTGGATTCCATCCATTTCTCTAGTAAATTAGCCACTGATAATCATAATTATGACCCTTAGGTGTAGTAAGACAATGAAATGCCTCCTGAATTATTAAGAAGTGTTAATTTATGTCTACCCTGTACGTAGTTTCAAGTATTTTACTGCATTATCATTCCTTGAAAATTGGTCACCAGTACATATGATATATACATAAGATTAAATTTTAGTCATGGTAATATATTTTTAGAAGAAGCCTTATTCCTAGTGTTGAATAAACATGATTATATTTTATATGAATTTTCCCCCAGATTTCTGTTTAAGGTCCACAGTCTTGACCTATTTGATCATTAGCCATAGGTCATTTTTTGAGAAAAATAATGCCAAGAATTTGTACGATGCTTTATTATGAACCAATACTTTCATTGTCATAAACATTGTTCAATTTATTGTATAAGCGCTCAAAAGGTATTGTTACCAGTATTTTATAAAATAAGCCCCAGGGAGCATAAGTGGTTTGTACAAAGCCACATGGTTAATAAGTAGTAGAGAAGAAACCCCATTCCATCGGACCAAGTCAAGAACTTTTTCCATCAAGCCACAGCCACCTCAGAAACTCATCTCCCAGAATTTGTGTCAGGAGCTTTCAGCCGACCATGGGCCTCTCCACTTGTAAACCCATCTGGTGAAGTTTCTTTCTAAGGCTCATCAGAGGAGCTAAGAAAAACCAACACATCAGAGACTCAGAAAATTTGTTGTAATCCTGATTATCAGTGAAAAGGAATAATGTCCCCAATATTAGATCACGCTCCATCCACCTGGAGAGGTGCATTGAATGCATCATTTTGTAGAGAGACCACTTTATTTATCCTACAATATGACCAAGACTGTGATAGAATGGGACCCTTTGTAATAGCTTTTTACCATAAATGAGCATAGCAAGCTTTGAAAGGAAATATAGGTGTGGGCATTCTCCATTTGCTTTGGATACAAAACAGGTTTTCTGCCTTTGATGAAAAGAATAAGCTGTGCCCATTCTAAGGAGAAAGTGTGAAATAGGAGAGCTCTGAATGCAAGGTTTTATCATCACCTCTTGCTTTTTTTTCTTTTCATTCTAATCAGAAACCTGTTTTTAAACAAGCTGCCCTGATATTAATAAGTGACATGGAAAAGTGACTGCCTTGAACATGCTCCTATGAAAAGTGGCGTAAGAAGGTGAGGGATGCCTGAGGAAGAAGGGCCTTCACCATTAATAATTATCTGCGAGGAACAGGCAGTGCCTGGGAGGTAGGCTGGATTCACAGAAACAGAAATCTAAAACATTTGGGCAGGCTTCTGCTTTTTCATGAGAGGTTGCTGCTGCTGAATGCAAATTCCCAACTGGAATAAAGCTGATAACAAAGCCATCTTGTGCTCATCCATTCCGGAATACTAAACAGAAATGTCTCCTGTATTTATTAAGCCACTTATAATTATTTCTGACGTGTCAAATATACTGGGGATAGAGAAGATTGGGGGGACCATTTTTTATGTGATGTCAGGCATCAAAGAATTGAAAGAGTGGCCCCAGAAATGATCATTCTTTAAGTATGACGCTGCCACTTAATAAGCCAACAGAGAAAATATTGAAAGGAATTCCGTCAACATTCTGGGACTAGTGTAATTTTGAACAATCAGGCGTAATGGCAAGATCAGGCTTGATGTCACGCTGTACACCCTGTAATTCTGGGAAATTATAAAACTTGTGAACAAAAGGGAACGAGGAATATGCAATGGTAGAATGGAAAGAAGGATGTGGGGAGCTTGAGATTCCAGGTCTGTCCCCTCTGACCTCACTGATATGCAAATTGTTTTATTATGTCAAAATAGCAGAGGTGAAACTGTCAAGGTTTCCTAAGAAAAAAGTTTCACAGTTTCACCACAGAAAAAGATGAGTTTTGCATTTGGAATGTCTGAGGGCATCTGAAGTGTTGTCTCATTAAAATTTATGATCAGAATTAATTCACGTTCATTTCATTAAGAACTAAATCACCTAGGTTGAATTTGTGTGGGGAACCATAAAAAAAGGATAATGAGAAATGGCAGCAGGTCTGTGGAGTGGCCAGTGAGGACCACTCGTAGATCTGATCTTTTTCTTTTTTAAACTTTCCATTTCGTGTTTGGGGATTATTTGGTGTTTGGAAATCAAGGTCTTTTGTTGGCATTTGTATATGATATGAAATACATAGAATACTTTTTAAAATCACTCGAGTTAAAGGATTTAAATGACCTTACATGAGACCCATACATGTGGCAATAAGAAAAAAATGAGACTGCCGCAAGAAAATAAGAATTTTGTTTGTCGAGGATAATTTTGTGCCTGGCACCGTGCTTAATTGACTTAATGATGCTCACAGATAGAAAGCCTGAGTGTCAGATAACTTTCCCACAAAGTTGCTGAAATGGTCCATTTCCTTTGCTACAGACGGCTCATCATCTCAAGTAACAAACCAGATTATCCCAATAACAAACCAGCTCCTGATAGGCCCTCTTCACTACATCCTCTTGGATGCAGAATGCCAAGGCTGCATCTCCTCCTCATGCCTCTATGTCTGTGTAGATAATTCCCTGTTGAGGATGCTGACATCTCTTGCCAGTAGACGTTGTTGTGTGTTTCCTGGCCTGTCCATTTTCCTTCTAATAATTGGATTCTATTAGAAAATTTATTTCTTCTCTAACACTTCAACCGCCTTCTACCTCCATGAGTTCTAATCCTAGAACTGCCCCTCACTCGATGATATTCTAGGCAGATGACTATTTCTGGGACACGCCATGCTCATCTGGAGAACCGGAGGCTGGTTATTGCTAAAATCTCATCTCAGAGTGAAAGTCTGCTGGTCTGTGAGTTTATGAGTTCGTGCCTTCTGAGCATTGAAGGTGGTGAGCTTTCCCAAGCGCAGTTGTAGGATTAGAATTGCGACCTCGTGTGCTTCGTCTTACCGCTCCATTTTCTGTCTACTCTCTTGATTCCAGATGAGACTACACACTGACCCCTTTATTCAAAAGTGTAATTCCTGACTAGGGTCCAACTGTATACAATACTTCCTTCCCCTCAGGATTGCCAAAGAATGTGCCATCTCTGAGGCACTGGGAAATGTGGCAAGGTTTCCCTCCTCATTGCCAGCCCCTTGGGGACCAGCACGTGGGTCTCAAGTCCCACAGCACCTGGACCATAAAAAGGCAGTTCAGCGCATCCTGGGAATATATGGGCAAAATTGTGAGCTTTACCTAGAATAGCTTCTCCTTGATTCTCTTGCTGGGCCTCCGGGCTTCTTGCTCTTTCTCTGGTGACCGTGTCCATTTTAGAGCTGCAAGGGAAAAAGGTTTCAATCTGTTCCTTTTTCTTTGTGTAACACTTACTGAATAGCTCAGTGCAATTGGGCATTCAGCGAGTCATTTTCCTCTAGTCCTTGCATTACTCGCTCTTTGCAATGGAAATTTCTATTTCAGGTTCCTTAGTAGCCATTTCTAAGTCAACCATGTGGCCTCAAAGAGTTGGGACTTAAGCATAAGCCTAGGCTTTTAGAATATAGAGAGGAGAAGGGAGCAAAGGAAGGAAGAGACAGGCTGAATGTATGGACAATTTTACTACTGCTGAACTGCACAGTTGTTAACGTTGCATCCCTGCTGTCCAGGTCAATTTCACTTCAGTAACTGTGCATAAATCTGGATTATGATATAAAAAACAAACAATTAAGCAAGCAATCCTTTTATGTTATTTCAAACGTTACCATTTAGAAAAACCTGCTTCTGGCTCTTGGGGTGAGTGTCTGGCAGGATTGTAAGTGGTGATGACTTTTTAGGTAGTTTTGTTATATTCTGTGATTTGCCTGTGCTCTTGGAAAGTAAAGGGGAATGACGTTATATGTGGAGCTATGTAACCATGAATTTTTAAAGCCAAATTGTCCCTGAGCTGAAAGGATTTCCTGTGACCCCCAATTAGTTTTCCTAAAATCTGTGTTAATACTTTCACACCAAAATGGCAAAAATTTTGCTTGTTAGTGCTTGGCTGCGGCTGGAGGCTGGTCTGTACAAACTGAAGGCGGTAATAACAGCAGCATGTATTTACCGGCTGCTTGCTACATGCCGTGTACTGGGTTAAGCAATTCACGTGCATAAATTTATTGAATCTTCACCCTAAGTGGCAGTACTATTTTTACTCCCATTTTAGAGACGAAGAAAATAAGTCATAGAAAAAACAACTTGCGCAACTTGCAAAATGTAGCATTAGGATTTGACCTCAGGAGGCTCGATTCCATCAGGCTACAGATAGGTACATACTCTACTCAGGCGCCCTATTTAGTCATTTTTATTCTTACATTTCCTTTCTTATTTGACATTTTCCACATTCAGTAAGCATCTTCCAGAATTTAAATTTTAATAGAGTAAATGGTATCCTGAAATGATGATCAGTGAGAACCAATTTTGCTTCTGAGTGCATCTAACTTATTCTGAATGAAGGAGACGCTGGCTCAGTATGGAGGAAAATGCCTGTGAGGAAGAGGCAGAAAAATAAGCCTAGGGGCCAGAACAGTTTACAGAGCAAAGTTTTAGTTCCAGGCTATTAATTTCATGCATATAGGAGAGAAAGAGCCAATGTAAAATAAAAACCTTTTGATAGAAATCTCTACCCATAATGACGTTGGTTTGGTTACCAAGGCTGGGCAAGGAGAAGAGAAGCAACGTAACAGGATAGACTCTGGAGCCTGATGGCCTAGCTCTTCCACTTCCTACTCTGAGATCTGGGGCAAGTTCCTTGCTGGCTCTGTGACTCTGTTTCCCTATCTGTAAAAGAAAGCTAATAGTACTTACCTTATAGGGTTGTCATGGAGATTAAATGAATTCATGTATGTAAAGCATTTAGAACAGTGCCTGGCACATAGTCGGTCATGCCACAAGAGTGTTTGCTATATCATCATCATCATCGTTATGATCATCATCATGAGGTGCTCAAACGTTGCGTGGCAAAGATGTTGACAGTGGTTTTATATTTAGATGTTCTTAGGGCTTTCATATAGGAAGAGAAGATACTAGATTTGATTTATTTTAGACAGACTTTGCTAAATAAAGCAATTCTTAGATCACCTAGATTTATTTTGGTTTTAGAATTCGAGTGGTCATTTATAAATTAATCAACTAATGTGTTGCCATGGCTCAGTCTGAAGGTGGAATTTTGCTCCCAGCGAAAGGAGGATTTAGCATGCAAGTTGCACAATTATCCAACAGAGAGATGGACCACTATCTTGAAAAATCTGAAGAAGGGAGTAGCAAAAATGGGAGATAGTCCTGCTTGAAAAGTCCAAGTGATTAGGAAAGCTGGGGTTTGGAGTTTGACGCAGCAAATTTATTTTGGGGTGATAATAGTAGAGGTAAGGTATAGCTTGTAGATCAGTCTGATAGATTCCCAGACAGTTACATCTTCACTCCTGCTTTCTTCAAAGAGTTGGGATGGAATACTCTGTGCCACTCTTTGAGGGCATCCATGGGGGTGAGAGAGGCTTTATTCCTTCAAGGCAATTTGGTCCAACTCTGCCAGCTCACTGGTAGGGGAAGCCTGGCAAAATTCCAAAGGTTATTAGTGTCGTATCTATTATTTCACAGGGTGGAGTGTGTTTGGGTGGATGGAGGAGGAAGCCTATAATTTCATAGCTGTTAGTAGAACATTTCTGCTAAAGCTCCTTTTATTCTAGAAATTGGTGAAAGGATCTCAACATTCAAGATGATTTGAGAGCATTGTACTGTCCCCAGAATAGAATGCACCCACAGTTCTTGCTAAATCTTGATGGTGCAAGTTGGAAGAGTATAAATATTTCCTCCAAAATATCTATTACCATCTCGACCCATTTTTTGTGTGTGTGAGATCTAAATCATCTTTTTAATTATTTTAACTCTGAAGATTTTTTCCCCCATAAATATAAAATCAGAGCTGTAAGATTAACCTAGAGCAGTTGAGAAAAAGTATTGCACTTTAAAATTGTGTCACCACTGTCTTGTTTAGGAAGAAAATGACTTGAGTTAAACTAAATGTTGAGTTATCAACTGTTTCAGTTCCCGTATTCATCATTGCCTGTAAAGTGTAAGCATCCCACTTATTTTTTTTATACTTCTCTGAGTTGCATTCTCAATGACTACCATATAAATAAATTAGAACAACAATCATGCTGTGCTTTTTCGTCATCATGGGTCATTTTCATGAACTGCTTAGTAATTTCATTGCACTTGTGTAATTAGGTGAAGAAGCTCCACCCCAGCATCCATGGGTCAGCTATGTGGACTCTAGCTGCCAAAGGCGCTTCTCCTTCTGAACAGAGCGCTTTGCTCAGCCAGTGTAGACATGGCCTGATAAACAATGGAACTTTCCTCTTGAGAGCTGGAGTTTGGATTGATCTAATTCTTTAATTCAAAACTGTGTACTGGTTTGATGAATGGTTCAAATGCCTGCCTTTTAGTAAAATGGGAGCTTAAATGGACAATAATGTGAAGAATAGCATAATTTATAATGAACTTGAAAGGCAGTAGCGCTCGCTGTTGTGCAAGCTAATCCGGTACTATGAAATCAAAGTTTGAACATGAGCTTAAATATCCGTGGCAGGGAGTTTGTTCTGGCAGGTTTCTATCTGTCAGGTCTTAACACTAAACCTGTCAGAGTGCAACACGGCCATGTCACTTTTGACCAAGATGTCACATATATTGTGGGAAACAACCTGCTTTGTGTTTTCTTCTCTAGGATTTTACTGGGAAAAGCAAACGTAAAAGGAATTTTTTTTAACGCTGCATTTTTATTTTGCAGATTCTCATGCTGATGGAGTGAGTGACAGTGGGGTGCGAACTGTAGTTACTCGACTCAGCTCAGAATGGCTGCGGGGAACGTATTCAGACATACCCAAGGAAGTCTGCCCAGGGTGAAACAAACACCGTTGAGGTTTAAATCAGGTGTGTGAAGGATGCTGGGAGCATGACTCCTAGGGTGGTTTTTTTTTGCATTTATTTTTGTCATGGAAAGTGGGAAGGCTGGTGGCTTTTGCCTGTTCTTCCAACTCTTAATGATATAAAATACACCCAAGAGGTCAACCCACCCTCTCTTCTAGGATCTGATATACTCTACTCCACCACCTCAAAGGGTCTTCTATTTTATCAAAACTTTAGATTTTAAAGGCGTGATTGTGGTTATTCATACTCATAAAGGATTCTGATTTTGGAGAGATTTTAAAATTGAGAATTGAAGTTTGATAGTCTTTACCACTGTCTATTTCCTTAGAAAAAGAAATACTGTTTGTAATATGTGAGTTAATGGCAAGAGACCTAAGAAAACTGCGTTCAAATTATCTTTAAAAACATATGTCCACATTATCTTTAAAAAGTTGTTGCATGGCTCCGAAAAATCGAGCAAAGGTAACATTTTTTTAGAAAATAAACCACATTTCTTTACAGGATGAAGTTGTGCTTAATAGCCTCTGTTTAATTCATTCAGAAACCACGCGATTTTTGTTGCTATATTTTATTAGAGAGGAAGGAGAGGCTGTTTCTACAGGTGTCATAGAAAAATCAATACTGAGCCATGGATTATTGGATCCCATAGAACCATGGAGAGTCGGCAGTGAAATTCTTCCAAAGGTGAGTGAGGGCATTGATTTTTCTTCTCATGCCTGAAGAAATATGACACAAGGAACCCAGGCTAGATTTAGACTGGAAACAAGTCTGATCTGAGACTATGCCTTAAAAAAATTAGTGACTTTTTTCAAAAAAATTAAGTGAGGAAATCAAATGAGAATTTGAGCCTATAAGTTTTTTTCATATGTTTTCTTAGATTCACTTCTTTATTCCTTCGGGTAGTTTGAAGAAAATTGACTACTTGACCAACATTTTATCTGTAATTCAGATCCAGTGATTTCCTTGTGGAATACTTGTGTTTACAATATAGAACACTCTCTCATTTAAACCTATAGCCAAGAATGAAATAATCCTTCAGCTTCTAAGGAAAAGCATATCATTTTCACAATCACACTTAAAAATATGAGCCCAACCTAATCTTCCTCATTTAAACTGTGTATTTTTCTGGCTAATTTGTGCCATAATTTTTAGACACATGCTTGCTTATTTGTTTACTGATTTTACAGTTTCTTCTAGATTTTGTAAAGTCGAAAAGCTATACATAATGCATTGGTTGTTTACTGCATTGCTTAGCATTCCACCCATGCAGGCAGACGGTGTTCCTAGGTTTGGAAGTGTAAATCCCAGGAGAAGTGAGCTGAAGAACATTTTATGCATCACTCATCCTATTATGAGCCCTGTGCTGTTCTCTCTCTCTACAAGGTAAGAGATTTATTGTGAGTCTGCTTCTGGCAGTAGAAAATGACGTATGCTAATGGCTCTTGCTTCAAAGTGTGTGTTTTTGGAACTCATAATGGGGAGTATAGAAATCGTTTTATAAGCAAAAGAATAATTGGAACAATTTGAGGTACTCGCACATCCTCTCCCATGCTCATCTGTCCCCAGGTAGGGTTCTGTTGTTCTACCCTGGGACCTACATTCTGTAGGATTGTCTTTCTCATGTGAAGTGAGGTGGTAAATTGGTCATTTTTATAATGAATTTGAGTAGAGTAGGTGATCAAGGAAGATAATTCAGGCCTCAAAGTAGAAATTTGCCAAATTACCACTTTGCTATATCTGGGGGTAGATGTAATTTGAGTTTTAATACTTTGTGGGATCAAAAGTTGATTATAAGAAAGTTAAAATATAAAATGCTAACAAGTTCATGATAATGTGTGGAATTACCTTAATACTAATTCTTTCTTTTTGCTGTTCAGTGGAAAATTCTTAATTCATTTTTCCTTATCCTGAACTTTCAGACTGGCTGAAACAATGACAAAAATTGTTTATAATCTGTATTCGGTGGATCATCTAGTTAGTACCCTGACTCTGATTACTCACAAAGACAAGATTCTATAAGAAAAACTGTCTGTTAGAAGGCTGCTATTGCGTTGTTAATAAAATAACAAGGAAAATGAAACATTCTGGATGTCCCATCTGACGAGGTAAGATTTTATCATTTCCCATAAGATGAGATTACGTTTGGTTTTATTTATTATTATCCCAGCCCCAAGAAAATTTGCATTTGTCAGAAACCTATAAAATAAAACTTTATATACATTGTCTAAATTAAGATCAATTTGAGACATTTAAAGCCAGGCTATTTAATGTATTTTATTTATGTATCAATTACATTATTTCTCATCCTTTCCAGCTTAGAAATTTATAACTCAGTATATCATGCAACATATTTAAACAAAAAATAAATTATGTACATTGTAATTCTTATGGGATAAAAAGGCATACTATTCTCTAACTTTTGATGAGGTTTAACTTTTGGTGTGTGAATTCTCAAATGTGAACAAACCAATGACAATGGCATACTTTGAAGTGTTCTAAAGTTAAAATTGGAAATAAAGATTTCATGGTAAGTGGCAGCCTTGTGTTTACTGTTGTAATAATATAACATCTGCATGAGAAGAAAAAAAGTACAAAAGACAATGGAGAGATGATGCAGAAGCCGGACATATGGGAAGTTCCAGGTGTCCGTAGATACAAAATGCCGATGCTCAAATATCTAGCACTCTTTATTTGGTACACATACTATAATCCATCAAAGTGCTCTCTTTGTAGTCCAAAAATATTAGTGTTTTCAACATCGCTACCCTTTATCTTTATACCCAAATCTCCCACAATGTGTAAGCTATATCTTATCTGTGTCTGAGCAGCATGATAGTAGCCATTCTCTCTTTGGGCTAGGTATATCATATGACTTTTCCTGAAATGTTGCAAAGATGAATTTCTATTAGGTAATTTGTGGTTTATAAAATATCATGAATTTTTGAGGGGACAAGTGGCAATTAACTGAAGCATAATTATCTTCAACGTGAAAATAGTCTGGGATGCCAACGTTGGAGAGCACAATGTCTTTGACTCATTATCACCTTCTTTGCTTGCTTTGTTGTCATCCTTTGGGTTGCTTCTGGCTCCATGTCTCTTTTGTTTCCCTTTGGCTCCTCTATTGTATTCCAGTTGCAGTTAAAGAACAGAAACAGAGCAGTAAAACTGCATGGCCACATTTTCCCAGGGCCACCAACTGGGAGTTAAGCTGACTAACATTTTGAAAGCCCGGCCCATTTCATTCACAGCAGGTGCGGCAGGTAAAAGCATTTCTGTATTAAAGTACGTACTTATGTTTCTTCAGGTTCTTAGTCTAATTTCTCTTGTTTGCCAGCTGGGGGGAGAAACGAAAGTATGTTGGGGAGAAAATGCCTGGGGTATTTAATCAAATACCCAGCAACTCTTGATTATAGGATGCAGAATTTCACTTTCGAGGATTAACTATGGTGGATTTTGTCCACCAAAATGGGTGTCTCCTTCTACCCAGCATGTTATTGGGCTACTTTCTATCACTGCGTAAATACGATGCGCTAGAAGAATTCCAAACAGTTTAATAATAACTCCTGGGTTAGCAGAAACTAAACATGCAGGGTGGAAATTCCCTTTAAATATAGATATTTGTGAAGTTCCTCAAACAATACATTTTACGTTATTGTTTGCTTCTATTAGAACAAGAAATTGAGAATTGATTTCACTGTGTTCTGTTAATTTGATTATTTCCTAAGTGGTAAGTATAAACCTCCTTAAATATTTTATGAAGCTCACTTAATCAAGAAAATATCCTAAAGCATATCACTATATTGATCCTTGACCTGTCACTCTGCCATGTTGAATGCCTTTTCCTCCCGTCCTTACAATGAGAGCTTAGGGAACAGAAAGAGTGAGGTAAGGCATTAGCCCTTCTCCCTGAGCAGCAGCGGGCTGTGGAATTGTCTCCTGGGAGGGGACTTCCTTGGAAGTGGTGAAACTGGGATGAATAATAGCAGTTTGCATTCATACTGAATATATATATATATATATATATATATATATATATATTTTGTGTGAGGAAGATTGGCCCTGAGCCAACACCTGTTGCCAATCTTCTTCTATTTGCTTGAGGAAGAGTGTCGCTGAGCTAAAATCTATGCCAATCTTCCCCTGTTTTATGTGAGGTGCTGCCACAGTGCGGCTTGACAAGCGGTGTCAGGTCCACACTCGGGATCCAAACCTGTGAACCCCAGGGCCACAGATGCTGGCATGCGAACTTAACCACTACGCCACTGGGCCAGGCCCCTGAATATATTTTTAAGGAAGCTTGAGAGCACTATACAAGAGCCAGCTAGGAGGGATGAATACAATATACAGTTAAGGTGGGAAGACTAAAGTTCTGAGAAGTGTCAAATTATTGTGATAATATCATAGCTCCTTTTATGAATTAATCTGATATTATGAATATTTATGATATTCTTCAGCTAGTGCCCACATGCTATATGTTGAAATAAATTTTACAAAGCCTCTTCTTTCACTGGAGTGAGCCGTACATGCACCATCTTACCCTAGAGTATAACCTTTGTTTCGTTTTATGTTCTCTGCCCATCCTACGGATATTTCTTATCAGCTTGGGTCAAAAGTTAACAGAGGGTACGATGGAAAATAAAATGATTGTTTTCCTTGAAGTTTTAGCAAAAAAATTTAAAAATAGTTAAAGGCCCAGTGGATGTCCACACCATGGCTATAGTACCTGGAATCTTTTCAAAATATGTGAGGTCCCTTCTGTTTTAGCAGTCAGACAAATTCTTTAACCAATTTGGCCTCAAGTTGACAAAGAATTTTTATTTATAAATGTCCCATGGAGTCCATGGGGAATCTCTGATACTCATTTATTTTCTAAAGAAAGGTTCAAGATCTATAAGTTCCAAATATTTCAGTTACTATGCACCTCTCTGCTTGACTAAATCAACAGTGCCATGGATATATCCAGATTCTTTGGAACACTTGACACAGCTAACCTCCACTGCACTTTAGTGCACTAGCTGGCCTCCTAGTTGTCCAATAGCATGAGATCTCACATTTGTTTAGTTAGTGCTTTCTGGTTTTCAAAACCCTTTCTCAGGATAGTTATCGTTGGGGTCAAGGGATAGAGGGTGGGGGATAAGGATGATATTTTTGTGTTTCTTTTCCTAATTTGTTAAATGAAAAGTGCTGGAGAATGAAATGTCTTTCTCTTGTTTTTGTTTCAAGTAATTGCATGAAGTATGAGTCACAGCATAATCGTCATGGAGAAGAGAGAGGGAAGTAGGCCCGTCACTCTTCAGCTCTGGTGCTTCTTAGGGACCCACCATGCTTTCTATTAATAAGCTAAAAGGAAGGACGCACCATTTCTCTCTTAACGTGACATAAAGATAACAGTTCCCTTCAACAGACTCATTTTTAAATAGGAAGGTCAATGGTCCGTGATCCAGGTTAAATACACTCACACATTTATTCATATACATATACTTGTCCAAATTTTTCAGCTAAAGTAATAAAAATGGTGGAAAGGAGAGAAACAGAACTCTCTAAAGGTCTGGGGTCGGGAGTTGCCCTAAGCAGGTACGAAGGCAAGTCCATTTTTAATTTGAAGCTTTGGGTTTTAGCTCAGAAATTCATTTACATTTTGTATTCTGTTTCAGAAAAAGTTTTTATTTGCTTACCTTTGAGTAAATCTGATATTTGAGAAGGGTGTGCCATGTTTGCCCTTTAATGACTCATTCAGAGAACATTTATTGAGCTTTTACAGTGTGCCAGGCACTATTTGGCCCTCTCCCCAACACTCTCGCCTGTCCCAGATGCTCGTGTTCAAGTTTGAAAAGCACAGAATAGAGAAATACAAGGTTGTGAGACAGATGAACTGGCAGTAGATAGCTGAAATGTAAGTCAGCATAATTACTTGATACCGTACACATTTTTCTACCCAGGGGTTTTAGATGATCATTGTCAGAATTTAGCAGAAAGCTCCATCAAATCTGTAAATTTTTGTTGAACTTAATGCAATTCCTTCAAGCTTTAGACAGTTACATTTCCATTGTCTGTTTTTAAGAAATACAGAAAGTTCTTCGTTGTTTTCCATTCCTACTTTTGACAGATGTTCCACACCGAAAGATTTATACCCTTTCATTTCGCTCTTTCCCTTCGTTTCCCATTTTTTCTGAAGATGAACTCTTGCATTTTTTTCTTTCTTAGTCCAATTTGCTGTACTTGGTGCGGGTTAAACTAGAAGATTAAAAACTCAGTGGACAGGGGGCTCTGACTTCTTTGCTGCAGAGTCTAGAATTTTGATGTGTATGTGTGTGTTTGTGTGATATGATGAAAACATTGCAGCTTAAGTTTCGTGCACAAATGTCATGGTTAAACTGGAGTTGGATTGACTGGTTTGAATTCCTGCTCTACCACTTACTAGCTGTATAAACAGTTTCTAAACCTGCTTCTTCAGCTATAAAATGAGGAAAGCAATCATACCCACCCCCACTGGTTTGCTGTAAAGATTAAATGGAATGATGAGTATAAAGCTCAGTTGTAGGCATATGGTAAAAGGCCAACAAACATTAATAATGATTTTAGTATTACTGTTATTTATTACGTCTGTGCAGACACACACATACCCCATTGATGCAATTTTTCTATATGATGCATTATTCAAAGAATGATGTCTAATCTTAGGCAAAATCATGAAAAGGCAGGATCTACCCTCAGCATTGCTAGCTTTTATTCAGAAGATGCATTCTCCTCTTATTCCCTTTGAATTCTCAGCGCCCTGCCTCTCTTCTTGCCTTTACTGGCAAAACCTCCTTTCAAGCACAGACCTGAAATTTATCCACACAAAGGTCTAGATGCCCGAGAACATTTGAGGTGTTGCCCTTGTAGAGGCCACTGACCTCTCATCAAACATCACATACCGAGCTGATGAGGCTGTAGACATCTGGCAGCAGCTGGCGAAATTTGTTTCACAGTGTGATCTCTCCCTTGCCTTCTGGAGATCTTCCCAGAGTGGGAATGGTTAACTGGGCCAAGGGGTAAGGTTAGTTCTGCTGCTGAAGGTACGCGCTCGCGCTCTCCTGGGGTTGCCTGACATCCTCAAAGGCTGCCTCTCTCTCTCAGCCCGGGGCCATTTAGGAATGTCTGTCAGCTTTTCCTCTTTTTTTTCCATTTCTGTCTGTGGGTTTTGAATCTAGTTATGCCTTAGACCACAAACTGTAGTCCTTTGAACATTTTTCCTAATACTTTTCTTTATTTTTGGATATACCCATTTTTTTTCTACCCACATCCCATCCATATATTCATTCTTAGTTATCCATTGTATTTCTTTCACAAAGGCCTGTATTCATGATTTAAAGTTTTTCACACATCAAACTATTATGCTGAGACATTCTCCTGAAATATTCTTTTTTATGTAACTCTACTTCACCTGTATTTTCTGTGCACAGATTTGAGAGTTGGAAGGACCGGGTTCAAGTTTAAGGTATGCCTTCACCAGCAATATATGTGTGGAAAACCGTTTAATTTCGCCGCCTCATCTTATCAATGATGTGAGAATTAAAAGCGTGTGCCCTGGTGTTCTAAGAATCAAATCAAAGTGTTTTGTAAACTTGAAAGTGGAGTAAAAGCTTTTTTAATCTTCCTTTTACCCGTTATGACTACTCTCTCAAGCTATTTTTTTTTTCAAGGGAGAGCATAAAGAGACATACTGTTTCGTAATTTGTGAAAGAAGGGATAGAATTATGTCTCTTTGGTATTTCCCCTCATTACCTGAAATAGCTATTCTGTTCATTCTTAGGATATCTTTGTCAGTTGCTTCCTGCCAGCATTGTATCATTTAATTCAGAGATGGCCCAGAGGAGAATATTCTCAGATGAAAAATGAGGAGAAATTTCACTGGTAAACAAGGGGCCCGTATTGGTGGGCTAGATCCACTAACTGTTTCTCAGAGGATCCAGATCATTCTGTAGAGCATCTATGTGGCATGGTCAGGCTGAGATGCCCCTAGGGCGCTCAGAAACTTGGACTGAGGCCATGAGGCTTAACATTTTCAGAATCCTTTACCCAAATGAGGAAAGACAAAAGCTAATGTTTATTGAGTACCTACTATGTGCAAAACACTTTCAAGAATATTAATTGCTAACTTTGGGGTTTTGCTAGGCACTGAACAGGCAATCAGCTACAGACTTTACCCAGGTTACCTAATCCTTAAAACAACCTTGTGACACTGATACTGTGTGCACTTTACAGTTGAGGAAACTAA